ACCGGCCGGTTCAGCTCTGGCCGGTCCAAGCCGAACCAGAGCTGGCCGGTACTAGCGGCCGGCCAAAACCGAACTGGGCGGCACTAGCAGCCGGCCAGAGCTGAACCGGCCGGCTGGCCGCCGCGAAAAAAAAACGTACCTTCTTTGCCGCCATCATCGTCGCCGGAGTTAGTCGGAATTTTTTTCGGAATTTTTCAAAGTCTGAAACCGGGAGAAATAATGTATAAAATGAAAAATGATTTTTTTTTAATAGAAAGGGCAAAATCGACTTTTGAGGGACGATAAATATTAATATGGGGGGCGGTGTTTATCAACACCCTTTTTATATGGATATATAGATATAGGTATCTCCCCCCAGAAATTCTATGGTGCCCACATGGGCACCATAAGCCATGCCACAATATGATGTGACATGTGATGTGGCTTAATTAATTAGATTAATAAATGTGATGTGGCTTAATTAATTAGGTGGCTTTTTTAAGAAAAAAAAAATCATGCCAATCTCTGTAACATCCAAAACAACAAACTCATCTCTTGTTACCCATATATGTAAACACTCCATCGCATCAACATCTAATGCTTTCTTCATGGATCCTGCAGCCATGGAAATCACGTCAGCATCCAATGTAATCTCTAAATTGTTCCAAATTGAATACCAATTTTTGAAATTCACTCCCTCTTCAACCCATGTCAAGCCTAGGAGCAAAAATCCCTCCCCTTTCCTCACCAACTGCTCAACAAACACCAATCGGCAACAAAAATTCAACATACTAGAGAAATTCCTCAAATCCAGATTCAAAACGAGTCAAATTTCCCAATTCAAGCCGAGACTCATTGCCCTAAAGGGGATTAATCTTCGATTCGGGCCCTGTGAATTCCTGGGTCGAGCTCAAAATCGGTTCGCCGGTGGTGACGATGTTCATCGGCGACGAGGAAGAGAGGTAGTGCATGTGGTACAACGGCCGGTGGGCCCAAAACCCAAATTCCGACTCCATCGGGCTCGCCGACGGGACTTATGTTATGGTGTACGCGGGTCGGGGTGGACAGGAGAAGGGGGATTGGGATGGCGAATTCGGTTGATGGGATCGGGGTTGGAGGAGGTGGGGAGGTGGGCCCGCGCTCAGGCGGTCAGAAGGCGGCAACACAAAAAGCTTGCTAGTGTGGCCATAACGGTGGCGTCGGTGAATGAGGTCGTGAGTAGATTTGGGGGAACAATTGACGGGAATAAATTGATTTTGGTATGATATATATTTTTTTTAAAAGCAACCTATTATCTGTGATGTGGAAGTGATAAGTCTAACTAATTAAGCCACATCACATGCCATATCATATTGTGGCATGGCTTATAGTGCCCATGTAGACACCATAGAATTTCTGATCTCCCCCTCCTCCCTATTGAAGTAAAAAGGAAAGAAAGGTTGGCCCGTCGTGCGACGTGGATTCATGCCCTTCTCATATATCTTCCAAAACCGCACGCAACGCAACGTTGAAACTATTAATGAATTTCCCCTTTCCTTTTTCTATTTTGTGGGTTTTATGCTCAGAAGTGCATTAATAATAAATAAACAGAAATCGGAATCAATGGCGGCATCAGTTGCGATTGGGCTGAGAACAGCATTTGTTGTGTTGGGCTGTATCATCACCGCCACTGTCATTTACACCACTGCCACTGATGGACTCCCTTTCCGCAAAGAACTACTCACTCCGTATCTTCTCTCTCTCTCTCTACTGTATACCAAAATAAATTTGTGCTTGACTATTTGATCAGTTGTTAAACGGTAGAAATAGAATTGTAGCATTGTTAAGAATTCTAGCTGACATGATATGAGATTGGGTTTCCTTTTCAATTTTTTTAATCCTAATTAGTCTGATAGATGTACTTGTTACGGCACGGGTCAAATTAATATGTTTGAAAGCCGAACTCGTTGATGGGTAATTGTCAGAGAATGAGGAGGAGGATGTTAATAATAATATTGTTAGAGAGAAATTTGATGAACATCTGAATTGGGAAAAATTGAGTCGCATGAAAAAGAAAATTGAAATGAACCAATAAAAGTTACCAAGGCATAACCTATGCAGATTTGAGCTGTGGCAACAACTGAGAAAGTTCCTCTGCAAGATCTAACACCTTGTGGTGCTCAAATATGGCTTCTTTTACAATCAAGAATTCAACATATAGTAGACCACGCTATATGTTTGTATGGATGTAACTAATAAAGCTAATCTCGAGTGGTTTATACTTATATGAACATGGATAAATGAGTGATTGTGGGCTTTCATCATGATACGGAATTGTATTTTTGTCGACTTTTGATACAGGTGGATGGCAGCAACTCTGGTCGACTTCTATATCAATATTCTGGCAATAGGGGTATGCAGTGTTCTTTGCTCTAATACTGCTCTGTGTAATTCATGATTTAAGAATTCACTTTGAAATTAGGATATTCCTGCATTATCAGGCATGGATTGTGTATAAGGAATCCAGCTGGATTCGGGCACTGATTTGGATAGTTTTGCTTCTATGTTTAGGAAGGTACAGTGGATCTTATTCATTTTAATCCACGAGTTCTCTAACTGTCTCGATGTTGTATTATGGAAACACAGATGTCCTGTATCTCACATGCCTAATGGATAATCTTGATTTATCTTTCATTGAGAGACATTTTTGCAAATGTACAAAATTAGAGGTGTTAAATTGTGCACGATGGTAATTTTTATTTTTTTATTTATTTCATTTTTGCAGCATCACCACATGTCTGTACATTGTTATGCAGTTCCTAAAGCTGTCTTCTCAAGAATCAATACAAAATCCTATTTATTTTGTGCTGAAGAATAAGAAAATGTAAGTGACAACAATACTTCAATCTATACATCATTATCAGTAGTTAATCGTTTTAGTTTTCGTATAATGTAGGTTTTCTTTAAACATACTTATAGTCAGCATTACAGAATGCATGCTGAGCAAACTGGCTATTGATCAGATTTTCTTGGTCCATTTGTCATAAAAAATGATGGAAAAACTTAAAATGTATCATGTACATTAGAGCTTAATGGCATATGACTTCACTATTTTAGTCCTTTGTTCGCATGACATGTGTGTTCATCAGTTGTTACTCCATATATTGGACCCCATTAAAGTCACCCCCATTTTTTTATTTTATTAGTCAACCAATCCAGATCTCCCTTTTGTCACCTCCTTTAGTTTTTATTATTATTATTATTTGTGAAGATTTTTATTGACTTTTAGGGATGAAGCAGAATCTGAGAGTATCGTATCAGTTGTAAGTGCACGGGTTCTTTTCAGTTTCTTGGGTTGTCTTATGCTTGGCACATTGGTTTACACAATTGCCACCGATGGATCTCCTTTTCGAAAAGATCTTTTAACTCCGTAAGTTCCTGCTTTTATTCTTTCCCCATTTTCTCAAAACAGTGTTAGTTAAGACAAATAGCAGGTGTTTGTTATTTGGTGTTGTATAGGTACATGGAACTTGAATCCTCTTCTTCCCCATTCTCCCCAGTCATCGTTTTTTTTAAAATATCAAAGACTTTAACTCACCGTCTTTTTTTCAGTAATGGCTGACGCTTGTTCAGATCTGATCTTACTACTGCAAATTGTTTTCTTGTGCAATTAAACACTCTAACTTTCACTTTCTCTTTAGTTAAGATGTCTTTAAAGACTTTTTAAATGACAAAACCTATTTTTCGTAGTTCTGAGTAAAATTGCAAATATATAAAGCTAGACACAATATTGTGAGAAAATAAAACGGTTTGGGTGTCATTTATTCAGTTTCATTAGAAGTTCACTTTGTGTGCAGGTGGTTGACAACAACACTGATTGATTTTTATGTTAATGTTATTGCTTTATCGGTAATAATCTCCGCGCAATTCTTCGGAATGCAGTTACATTTTATATCGTGCAATGTGCATGTAAAAAATCTCAAACTTTCCACTGTTTTTCCGGTTTGCTATCAGGTTTGGGTGGCATATAAGGAACCTAATTGGTTAACTGCAGCATTTTGGATTCTTTTGTTGATCTGCTTTGGGAGGTAAATTAAACTAATATAATGGACTAATCTACCCCTGCTTTTAAAGCTTAATTACAAAAGACACTTCATTATTATTCTATATTTTAAAAATAGTGAGGTTCACATTTATAGATTAACCTCACTATCCTCTGATGTGTCCAAGGGAAACACATTGAAAGATATATGTTCATGTTTTCTACAAAAGATAATACCATCACCTATAATCGCTATCGTTCTTTAAATTTTATCGTAACTTGCTTTGTGTTTCCTTGTTAAACAATGTTTCTTATTGTTTTTCAGCTTTAGTACATGCGTCTACATTGTCCTACAGCTTTTCTGCCTCTCATCTCAAGATCCCGTTTCTCTTGTTCTTTTCAGCAGCAAAGATATTAGGCAAGTCTTTCAAATTTTGAATCGGTTGTATTTTCACGAGAACAATTACGGTTGTGTTGTGATTGATGAATATTACTGTTAAGATGGTCAACCATTATTATTATTATTATTATTATTATTATTATTATTATTATTATTATTATTATTATTATTATTATTATTATTATTATTATTATCATTATTATTATTATTATTATTTTCTTTATTTTCCTTCTCCAGAGAACTTAAAATATCTTATTCTTGATGTTAGGGCAGGAAACAACTATGAGAAAGCTGCGCAGGCTGATAGATACATGTAGTTTTGGTTGGTGACTGGTGAGTGATAACTATTACTATATTGTTCCATGTGTTTGGAGCGCCTGAAATTTGTATAATCTTGGATTGTGACAATAAGTTGATATCATTGTAAGGTTGATTTTTAATAAAATGTAAAGTTATTAAAATTAATAAAAGGGTGTGTTTGTAAAAGTATAAATTCAATCAAATTAGCTCAAAGTGAGTATTTTTTTAGTTAACTATGGTTAATTAAAAAAAAAAAA